ACTGTGACGTGGGGCCAGTCTCTGGGCGCCAACAAGAGGTGTGTGAAGACCTCGCTCACGTCGAATCCACGTCGACGCTTGACTGATTGGGCCAGCCAGTCAATCTCTGGCTAATATCGCGCAAGCCAAGGGATGCCCAGGATGCAGTCAAACGCGTAGTTCATCTCGATCACCAAGAAGTCGTCCTTGCTACGGAAGCCGTCGAACGTGTACGACAAAGACACGTCACGCCGCGCAACGCGGCGAGCCTTACCATCTGCGAGTTTGACTTGGATCTCGCCCGGACCATTCCGGACGCGGACGTTCTTGGGTAGTACCGACAAACACGATGCGCGAAAGAAGTTGTTGGTCGCTCCTGAGTCAAGGAGCGCGCGCAGTGGTCGCCGGGCACCGGTGACGTGGAGGCTGACAATGATCAGTCTCGAGTCGCCCGGCGTAGTGGTGGCATTGGTGTGTGCTTGGAGCACGGGAGGGCTCGAAGGTTGGGCTGCCACCGGAGGGCCCGGTCCTTCGTTAAAGCCAGTAGGGCGCCCCGCACCTACTGGTCCTGGTCGTTTTTTGAATGGGCGACCGAGGAGTGTTCCGCGTCGACGTGAGAGACGACGGGAGCTGGCGCGCGGCACTCCGCCGCGCGATGACCCTTCTTCCCACAGCGGAAGCAAATGAGGGGGCGATTGCTTCGCCCAGCGCTGCCGCGGTAGGACCCGCGACGTCGATTGCTCGACGCGTTGATGGCGTCGATCTCCATGGGCTCGGAGTAGACTCTCGGGCTTCCGCAGGTATGGCTGCGGCGTACGATGCAGCGACCATGTAATCCTCGCGAATCGCGAGTGCAAACGATTCCTCGAGAGAGGAGGGCTCAGCTCTGGTGAGGCAGTAGCGGGTCATACCCTCGCGCATGCCGAACACAAATACGTGGACTTGCGAGGCCATGTTGATTGGCTTGGTCACGATGCATGACGCCAGGTGTCGCGTCTTCTGGACGTAATCACGCATGGACATCTGCCCTTGCCGCAGAGCGAAGAACTCTGCGCGAACGCGAGACTCATCTTGCGGGGGCTCGAACGCGAGGCGCAAGTCGCTCTGGAGAGTTTCCAGAGTCGGGAAAGCCTCGGGGTCGACAACCAGCTTCCCGAGGGCCCATTCTTTGGCCTTCCCGGTTAACCGGGAGAGGAGGAAGTTCATCTTGGCCGATGACGCCTCGATGCGTCGCGAGGCGATAGCGATGTCGATCTCGCGGAACCACCGATTTAGCGGAAGCCGGTTTTCACCGGCGCCAGAATACGTAGACGTCTCCATCTTGACGACGTCATTCTGGGATGGACGCGAGGGAGTTGACACCCGCCGATTCGCATCGGCGAGCTCGCGTTCCATGAACTCTTGTGCTGCAAGACGTTGCTGGTCGGGCGTCGCTGAGCTCAGCAGCGATGCGACGACAGCGTCTCCGGACACCGCCACGAGGCGGTGAAGCGCTTCCCACTCCACGCGAGTGAGATGGGGGAATGCAGCATGCTCCAGGGTCGCCCCGGAGATCTGGACTTGGCTCATCGTAGACTTGGTCGTTGGAAGGACTACTAAGTGCTACCAGGTGTAACGGGGTAAGAGATACCGTTACTAGCTTACACTGTAATGCGGAGGAAGCTCGCAATAATAAAACCAAGTCTTAGGTTTGTGTCAAATTCAACTCTGATTTATTTAGGACCAGGGCGGCTACCCCTGGCCTCGTGTGAACCAGTCAAACACATGTCTATATCTGATTGGTCAATAAGTGAGTCTGGCTCCTCACTATCAACCAATCAGATGATGACACTTTGGCACACGCTACCCGTGTGCCACTTTACCTACTTATGTAATAACTAAAGAAATATCTACCTACTTATGTAATTGGAGTTGGGCCCATTACACGGCGATTGCAAACTAAGCAGGAGCCACACGTTGTCACTAGCACAGAGCCCGGGAACTCAGCCATCTCCCGGTTCTCGAGTGCTGTATACACTACGCGACAGATCACATCGGACACCCACTTACAGTGCTCTAGCGCCGTCAATACTGCGAGTTAGGCCATACTATTTAAATATATGCGAGTTGTTGACAGTAGGAAAAGCCTAGTAGCGCTAACGAGCGTAGATTCGGCCGCTGAGGGGGACCTCCGATACAACTTTCCACTTTCAGCTCCACGACAGATCAGATCGGACAGTACAGACTATACAAAAATCAAGTATATTTTAAAGCTGAAAATTTGTGGCTGCAGCGCGTGTACCTGGTGGGTGGCTGCCATGAGCGTGGAGTGCATGGATCATTCTAAACGATGCCGAAGACCAAGAAGCCTCCATTAACCGAGCGAGAGAGGGGAGGATTGACGGCCTCTTTAAAGCTGGAGCCTCTAAGCACATTATCGCGCGCAGCCTCGGCCGCAGCCCCGACACCATCTGCCGTGCACTGGCTCTTAAGCCTCTACCCAAGGCACGCGAGACCGCGAAGCCCCCAAACGAAGCGGAGCGCACCCAGCACTGACGGACCGCGAGGTCAGGCGTCTTGTGCGCACTGCATCGCGTGGCGAGCACTCGGCGGCGCAGTTGAAAGCCGAGTTGGACCTCGACGTGCACGTGAGGACCATCCAGCGCGTCCTCTTGAGGGTCAACTGGCTGGTCTACACGAAAATGGTTAGCACGCTTCCGCTGAAGCCGGAAGACATGGCCGCACGCTTCACGTGGGCAACGGAGAAGCTGTTGCTGAAAGACGCCGGGATTCCACTATCTTCTCTGATGAGAAGAAATGTAACCTCGATGGGCCCGACGGCTTTCAGCAATATTGGAGGGACTTACGCCGACCTCCCCGAAGGACCAAGATAACGCAAGCAGGGGGAGGATCGGTAATGGTTTGGGCTGCATTTAGTGGGCGGGGAAAGTCCCAGCTGGTGGTTTTGAATGGGAAGCAAAACTCGGACGGCTATGTGTACACGTTGTTCGAGTTTTTGCTTCCCTATGCACATGCCAACTACGGTCTAGACTATATCTTCCAACAAGATAATGCCAGCATCTACACCTCAGCCCGCACTAAGGACTTTATTGCGGACCAGGAAGTCAAGATGCTCGACTGGCCGTCTAAGTCACCCGACTTAAATCCTATTGAAAACCTATGGTCAATAATGAGCCGGCGCGTTTACAGGAGCGGTAAGCAATTCGACAAGGTGTGCGATCTGAAAGAAGCCCTATTCAAAGCTTGGAATTCCATCCCTCTCGCTTCGCTGCATTCACTGGTAGAGTCAATGCCGCGTCGCTGCTTAGCGGTTGTTGCCGAGAAAGGAGATAGAACGACTACTAAGGGAAAAATATACTTGATTTTTGTATAATCTGTACTGTCCGATCTGATCTGTCGTGGAGCTGAAAGTGGAAAGTTGTATTGGAGGTCCCCCTCAGCGGCCGAATATGCGCTCGTTAGCGCTACTAGGCTTTTCCTACTGTCAACAACTCGCACATATTTAAATAGTATGGCCTAACTCGCAGTATTGACGGCGCTAGAGGGGTGTCCGATGTGATCTGTCGCGCAGTGTAGTGGTTTATAATAAACCCTACCCATTTGAAATTACCAAAATAAAGCCCTACACCTATATGAAGAACCTTTGTGTTCGTGCAACACAATAGCTTCAAGTGACCCTTCATCATCGATCGCGCAACATAGCTCTTTCCTAAACCTTCGCGCAACACCTCTCTTCAACAATCTTTTTTGCCAATCTACGCTCAACCCCATGGGTTGAACCCATTCATTCCCCAATATCCTGAGTCTCAACCATATCCATTTTCTGCTAATGATCGTTCCTGTGATCGATATCTCTCCTTTTGTGAATGAATTTGTAAGCCCCAAAGCTCGTGACGAAGTGGTGAGCCAAGTCGCAGACGCTTGTCGCTCCATCGGCTTCCTGATTATCATCAACCACGGCATCGCTTCGGATACAATCGCTCAGGCTTTCGAAGCCGCGAGAGACTATTTCGACCAACCGTCGAATGTCAAGAAGAAAGTAGCCATGAGTCCCGAGTATCCTTATGGCTACGAGAGTGCCGAGATTCTGTCCAACTCAATCGAGAAAGATGATGGCAAAACTTTACCGGACTTGAAGGAAACGTTCCAAGTCTGTGTGGGTCCTGACGGACGAGAACCCACTATCCCAGCACAGTGGCCAGAAGGACCCAAGGGGTTTCAAGACTCCATGACGACGTATTACCGCAGTGTAGAGAAACTTGCAGCGGTTATGATGCAGATCTTTGCGTGTGCGTTGCAGCTTCCCAGTGACTTTTTCGACAAGAAGATCGACAACCACATGTCATCGCTTAGGATCCTGTAAGTCTGAGCCGCGTGTTGGTATGATACCAATGCTATCTAACATCTAACTGTCGTTAGAAACTACCCTCATCAAGAAGAGGAACCCGGGACGACGCAGATCCGAGCGTCGGCGCATACGGATTACGGTAGTTTGACGATCTTGGCGGTGGATGACGCTCCTGGTGGCCTGCAAGTGAGAGATCTACAGGGCGAGTGGCACGACGTCAAGGCTCCTGCCAACTCGTACATAGTCAATCTTGGAGACCTGATGCAACACTGGACCAACGATCAATGGCGCTCGACCATGCATCGCGTCATCAACCCACCATCGGGGTGTAAGAACAACCGACGCCAGTCGATCGCATTCTTCCACAATATAAACGCGGATACAGTTGTGGAATGTATTGAAACCTGCCAGTCTCCGGAGGACCCGGCCAAATACCCACCAGTACTTGCAGGGGAATACCTCATGGCAAAGCATAACGCAGCTATGGGCAGCTAAGGTGGAGATGGCTACATGTTTTTTTTCAACTTAGTATTTTGAAGTAGTACCTTCAATAAAATAAATAAACATTCGCAACACAAATATTGGGTTAAATGTATTGTTGTTCCAATAGCAACTGTGGTCTACTAGCTCGTGTGTCTACATGTTTCGGAGTGCCTCTTCCTCCTCGTGCTCCATACGCATGGCGTCCTTAATGGCACGACTCTCGGCTTCAACCCACCCCTTTTCAATGTCGTCGTAGTCAGCGGGGTCGGCAAATTCAATGCCGCGCATCTGGGAGAATTTCTCAAGAAAGCGGTGGCTCTCCACCTGGTCGTACTTCTCAATGAGCAAGTTGAAGGCGTCCGCCTCCGGGATCCCTTGCTCGATCAGCGTCAGCTGTTCGTCGGCGAACTCGTAGGCCGTCTGGTTGTCCACTATGCCGTCGCGCTGTTTCATGTAGAGCTCAGCCAGTCGGTCCTGTGGGAACGTGATGACTGGCAGCTTGTCGCGGTCCTGGCGCGGCACTGGCGGCGGTGGGAAGCGGTCCACCATAGGAACCCACGAAGGACGACGCATGCCGCCATTGCGGGACAGGCCCTTGACCAGGCGGACCATGTCCATCGTACGCTTCCGAGCTCGTCCCATGCTGACAGTCTAATTAGCTTGTGAAAGGCTCTCAGAGCCGCTCTTTATTATGGTCTTTGATTGGTTGAAATGTTTTATTTTAACTTTTTCAACCAATGATTAAATGCTTTTGGAATGAATTTGCAGTACTTGAGTACGCGAGATGGCGGCGACGCGGAGGCTGCGCTTGGAGCAGCTTCAGCGGCTTTGTGACGACGGCAAGCGCGCGGAACTGCACTCTGCTATCGCGACGTACTCGACGAAGGAACTGCGAACGTTATGTGGCGGTTTTGGCGTCCCTGCGCAGAGTAAGGAGTACGCTGCGTACCAGTCAAAGGCAGGGTATTCTGAGCTGCTGATCAAGCTACTAGAGGCGAGGGCTGCACGTACAGGGCTCACGGAATTTGTGCCAATTAACGCAACACCATCGGGACGCACTCGAAAGACTAAAAACTGTACGCTTCGACTAATTAATGTGATCTTCTCGACTGAAATGGGGCCTTTTCTGGCGGACCTAATGGATGACGTATCGAGGAGGAAGAGGACGGTGGACGGCGCCAATCCGTTGTGGGAAAAAGTCAGGACAGAGTTCTTGAGCTCTAAAGCTGAATATGCCAGGATACGTTATCCTGACGATCCAGTATTTGCCGACTTTAACCTGGGGTTGCCAGTTGCGCATTCAGGCGAGAAGCTGCATAAGATGTGGGCTAAGCTGGGTCTAGCGTATACAAGTGTATACACACAGTTTAGTCTGGAAAGAATGTCTCCCAAGGACTGGTCTGTGTGTGCGGGACGAACCGATGTATACTACTTAAGACGCTGGCTGAATGACAAGCCTGAGTTGCTCTCAACTGTCTGTAAACCCCCAAGAGAGACGGACGTTGTGCTTGCATCATCAAGTGTATCTTACTATGGGCAAAGTCTTTCGCAGTTTGTGCAACCGAGTGCACAGTCGAGTATGGAGCCAGCGATGGAGGGCGATGAAGGTGAAAGGGTGATGAAGTCTATCAAGCTGGCGTATGACGTACTGGCGGTGATGCCTGCGGCTGACCGCGGCTCGGAGATTGAACAAACCGTTCGACGCAGATTGAATCGGTGTGCGAAGCGGTTAAAAACGCTCGAAGATGAACACGATAAACGATGAACGTGGCCTTTTACTTATTTATTCACTTAGTTTTTGTCTCATGAAATATGAAAGACCAACATGACCGCATCGAAGTTTGAATGATCTAAACTTTGAGATAAATTTCATAACACACACAAAAATGTACCTAACTGTAAATAAGGTAGAGACAGGTCTTCTCCTTACTGATGACATTCGCACCGCTGTATCTCCGTCTGTATCCGGTTGCAGTGCATTTGTAAGGCTGCTCAAGTGCTTGAAAACCCGTAGAACTATTTAATCACGCTCACAATGCGATGAATAATGTCGTTAGGGCGGCTTCGGCTTGTGTCAATGGTATCACGCCACCGACGTGCGTCTGAATGTCATACTACATGTACACTACAAATTTATCATACTAAGGCTTTCTCCACTCGCACAGCTCGAGAATCGTGAGCTCTACCACGACATGTCGCTCAAGTACTTGATGACAGCCGTTCCACAGCTGCTCGCAGCTTTGTTGCTGCTCTACTACGCCTGCACTTTTTCAAGAGCCTCAAGTGCCTTCATACACCGCATGCTTGTAAACTCCTGTCTGCATCAAGGCGTAGCGAGTCTCATGATGGCTTCACTCCTGTTCTCGGCCTTCCACGTGTCGCTCAGCGTGTGCTGCTCATTTCCAGCTTTCTGGTACGCATGCAACTTACTTCAAGCCATCGGACTCTAATTGTCGTGTGAATGTTCCTAGTCCCGTAGATCCAACAGCCTCGCAGCTCAGTCGAATCGTGGCCTGTCCGGAGTCCGTAGCGCACCTCACACACTACAATCTGTACCCAAGATTAATCCACTGCTGCGCTACGTTCACTATGTCGCTCGCCTTATGCAGCATCGAGCCTGCACACATCGCGAAGGACCTCAACTCAAGAGTACGTCGTGCCAAGTTCAGCACCTTCTCCCGACGTGAAACTGAGCACGAAGCTTCTGCTTTTGTTGTCCTCTAAACGTCGCTCACAAAACCTGCTCTACCAGCAGAGAAGAAACTAATTAAGCCACCCAAAAGTTGCTTATTTGATAGTTTTTATCACTGTATCAATGCACCAGTTGAGCCCAGGGATCCTCGAGAAATGACGGCTGGAAGAACACTCTTCCGGGCCCGTTATTCGTGGCATACTGTACTTGTCGAGGACGCAATTCTTCTCTCTGTCGGTCTACATACTTCTCTTTAGTAGCATCACCAGATGCTGCTCCATTTGCTGTCTCCAACCCCTTCCACGGGTCCTCCAAGAACGAAGGCAGGAAGAACCTTGACGCGTCACGCACGTCGTCACTCGGCCCTCTCTTGCGCTTAGAATGCGAATAGTTTCTGTTGTAGCCGCGGTTCTGTCTGTAATTCTGCTGCTGGAAGCCTCCACGCCCCCTTCCTCGTCCTCGCCCTCCTCGTCCGCCGCGACGACCACCTTGCTGGTGCTGGTTCGGCGCTGGCGGCTGTATCTGCTGCTGGAACTTGGGCTGGCGCTTTTCCATCTGACGCATCATGGCCTGAAGTTGCGGCGGCATCGGGGGTGGAGGGCCTGGCGGCGTAGACCCGGGAGGTGGCGGTGGCTGCATGTCAATTGATTTTTATCTGAAACGTATTAATAGCCATTTTATTTTTATTAAAATAAGCACCTACAAAATGTAGCACTATAGCAACTTTATGTTTACCACACCATTCACCAGTCATTCCTGGCCTGCCGTATCGAAGTGATCTCGGAGACGTCGACCGCCAAGTGAGTAGCTCCCCGCACTGGAGGCAGTTCATTCCGCCACTCGCTCCAGAGCATAAGCCTTCCCTCTTGCACTTCCGATCTCGCAGGCGACAGTCTTGTTGAAGCTTGTGCGTGCCTGTTCCTTTGTGGCTTAGTGACGACATCGCCAACATGAGCCACTACGGCCCGCCGCCCAATGGCTTCCCACGCGGCCCACCTCAAGGTTTCCCACGCGGAGCCCCGCCGCCGTTCGCCGCGCGAGGACCGCCGCCCTCCTTCGCGTTCCGAGGACCTCCACCAGCTTTCCAGGGCCCGCGCGGGCCTCCTGCCGGGATGGCCCGCCCACCGCTGGGCCTGAATATCCCTCCGATGATGGCTACATCTAGATTCCAAGCCCCGCCATCACCAGCTAGCACCGGACCAGTGCTACCTCCAGGATGGAATGAATACAGGACACCACAGGGAGCGACGTACTACTATAATTCTAGTACAGGGGTAAGTACGTACGACTTCCCGACCCAGGAGCAAAAGACCCAAAAATGGGTGGAATACAAGGACGAAGCCTCCGGAGCCTTCTACTATTTCAATAAAATCACGAAGGAGACGGTGTGGGACCAACCCGAGGAGTTTAGGATGCAAAAAGCTCGAGAACAAGTAGCCAAGATGACGAGCGAAGCGCTCCAAGCAGCCACTCCAGTCCGGAATCCATTCCCGATGCCGGTTCCCGTTCCCAGTAGCGCTGCCTCGACCGAGAAGGAAGACGAAGACGACGAAGAAGAGATCAAACGACAGGAGGCACAGACACAAGCTCGTAAGAAGCGCAAAGAGATCCAGGAGCGCGAACAAGCAGCCGAGTTCGCCGACATGCCGCGAGCTGAGAGAATGGCTACATTTAAACAGTTTCTGGAGGAGAAGCAGATCACGCCCACTTTAAAGTGGGGCGACGCTCAGCGCGCGATCAGCAAAGACACGTCCATGTCCAACGATCCTCGATGGAAGTTTGCATTGAGCACTGTGGGCGAGAAGAAGCAAGCGTACGCGGAGTACTGCACACAGGCCAAGAACCGCGCGACTATCGAGAAGCGTCGACTCGTGAAGAAAGCGCGCGAGGAGTTTATTGAGCTTCTAAGTCTCTTCGAGTCCAGTTTGGCGCCTCCTTCCCGACGTCGCCAAATGTCGTGGGACGAAGTGAACCAGAGTTCTAATTTCTACGCCATGCGGAAAGATGCGCGCTGGGTAGCCATCGACGAGACTCGAGAGAAGCAACAGCTGTTTGTCACTTTTATGCAAGATTTAGAACGCAACCAGAAAGCGCGATTGGCTAAACAACGCGATGCATTACGAATAGGGTTCATGACGCTCTTACGTCAGCGTGCAGACTCGAACCAGTTAGAGTTGGGGGGACACTCGAACAAGCGTCTGGATAGCGACTCGAAGCGCCGTGTGTTGGATCTATTGGAGCAAGTGGAACTACCGGGCGGAGAAGGGAAAGTGGGCGAAGACGCGCTGCGGATAGTCGACCGCCATGATGTGTACGACTGGGCTGAGGATTTCTTACGAGAACGTCGAGAACTGGAACATGCGAAGAGGAAACGGGAGCGAGCTGAACGTGCTGCACGAATCGAGAAACAAGGACGCGAGTTGAACGAGAAGCTTCAGGAACTGGCAAATAGTCAGCAACTGACGGTGGGGAGTACGTGGGACGAGTTCTCGACGCAGTTTTTACAAGCTGCTAGTGAGCAAAGAGCCAAGGAAGAGAAGGAGGAAGAGAACGACGAACAAGATGACGACGATATCAACTGGAGAGGACAGAGACGCATTTTTGACAAATTTGTGCGTCGCCTGCGTCGCTCTCTGGAGCCTGCAGCGTCTGCGATTCGTACGCACTTGGATCGTAGTGGCGAGCCGCCGTTACGAGTGACGGAAGCCACGACGTTCGCCGTCTTTATCGACGCGCTTGAGAACGGTGTGGCTCTAGCGATAGACAGTAACGCGCCTGAAGAAGGCGAAGAAGGAGAAGAGTCTGGTGACGTCAAGATGAGCAACGGAGACGAAGAGACTGAAGAGGTTAAACTTAAAAGTGAAGAGGTTAATGCCGAGCTGGAAGCAGCTGTGAAGAAGCAACGAGAAAGCGAGGACAAGAGCTCGGTGGAGTTCCCGGAATACGTTCGTCAAGTGTACGACATGTGGGTGGCTATGGCTACAGAAGAGAGTCGAAGAGAGCAGGAAAAGAAGGCCCAAACGACGTAAGAGAAGGCGTAAAGACAGTCACGACCCCGAAGATGAAGACGAAGACCGACCACGTCGACGTCGTCGCTCGTCGGCTGATGAGCTGGAGGGCGAGAAAAGTCACAAGAAACGGCGAGGCCATCGATCTAGAAAGCGACGTCGTAGTCACGGCTCTGCGTCGGCTTCGCGTTCCAGATCTCGTTCTAGATCTGAAACTAGAAGGGAATCTAGACGAAGTCGATGTTCCAGATCTCGCGACCGTGATGCGCTGCCTCCTAGTTTAGCTGCTGTCGGCGCTAAGGCTGCGGCGGATACAGCGACGACTGAGCCGTTCTCGCCACTTCGAACGCCGTCCAAACCGCTGTCACAAGCGCAAGAAGCTGCGAGGGCCGAGGAAATTATTCGTCAGGCGAGGTTGAAGATGCAAGCGAAGGGAAAGAGCAGCTCTGATGAGGAGTTGGAGGAAGGGGAGGAGCTGGAAGAGGGCGAAGAAGAGGAATAGACACAAGTAGCATCGACAGGTATTGTAAGGCCATACATGGGTACGTCAATTATCATTGCAACAATACTACGAAGTACGAAGTAAAACTGAAAAAGGATCTTTTTCAGTTGCTTTCTTGCATTTGCAAGCAAAATGCAACTTGATATTAGCTTAGTGAAACGTGCTCCAGTTGCATCGCATGTACTTCGAAGTAGGTAAAGTTGCGTGGATTCTTGCTCTCACACCGAAGTGCAGCTTCATGAAACATACAGTAACTTCGGTTTTTCCACTTCAGAAAAAAATCTTCAGTTTGTTTGCCTTTTGGTGCAAACATTTGTGTTGGTGCCACCTTCCGAAGACATGCACAGTGCAACTCCCCGCTGTCACCACTGGAACGTGAGCTTTTTGCTTGCTCCAGCGCTACGCTGGACTCGACACGACCGCCATGTCACTGTCTCTCTATCGACGTATCCTGCGTGTAGCAAGAACATGTAAGCCGACGCAAGCCTGATGGCTGGATCATGCCATGTAGCTTCCAAATATGATCGACAACTGCCTTGAGATTTCATTCCCATTCTCACAAACGCCCTGCCGACCATGTTGCAGGGGAAGGCGGCTTCGAGGAGCAAATTTGGATCCGCGAGGAGGCCAGGTACGAACTGTTATGGTGACGCGCAAAGCCGCGGTGCAGTTGTTCTTCCAACTTTGCCATGCGCAAGTGTTGCGTTGATACCGAGAACGTTCTCGCAGTGGCAAAAAGTGGAAAATGTATCTGAACTCTGGCCTGCAACTTTGTGTAGGAGACGCTTTGAGGAGAACCGCACGTTGAAAGACCCCGTTGCAATCGAAGACGCAGTGCGCCAAGGCCACAACCAAGTGGATGTGGCGCTGCACTACAAAATCTGCTACCCGCGCCCCGAGTACGTGGATCCAGGCACTATGGGAGGCGAGAGCAATTTCCATCGCCAATCATCACGAGCCAACACGAGAATGGGACGCTTACACAAGAGCAGACTACAGAGTCGCTTTCGTTCAAGTAAAAAGGTAACTTGAGACCCATCCGACACGTGCAAGTAACTTCGAAAAAAACAAATATGAGAAAAAAAGTTTCTTTAGCAACTGGCAACATTAGTCGGATATCATACTTTTACTACGTTATAAACCAACATCGAAGCATGGGGGAATGCTACATGTGCGTTCGCTATAAATTATCTTACTATGCTACTGAACGGAGTCGAGACGCTACGCACACTTGCCACCAATTGCAGGTGAACAGACGGAAAATGGGAAGTGGTGGTCGCCGGATAAAATAAACCGCCACGTGGGGCTCTGCTTCTTTTGGCTTGTGACTTCTCACAGCGCCACCAAAAGCACCGAGTAGATGGAGCATCGGTGCATGGCCAGGAACTGTGGCACGGTGACGTTAAACCCGAGCGCTTGCATGCGCCCCACGAGTTGCACGCCATCCTCCTCCGTGCCGTTGAGGTCGTAGAAAAAATCGCTCGTGAGGTCCACGTCGTTGCGCTGCAACTCGTTCTGCCACAGCTGCAGTAGGATTTGAGCGTACATTGGCACGCTGGAGTGGCGCGGCGGCTTGGACAGCGACTTCCGGCGCTGCTGAGCCTGCTCCTCCTCATCTTGGGCGATAATAAGTGCCTGCACATCGGCCAGCGATGCCAAGCTGCGCGTGGAGCTAGATTTGCGCAGCCCACCGGCCTTGGGTAGGATTGACGAGTGCAACGGGTTCTCCATCATTGACGTGACGTGAGGTGGGGCCTTGGATCGGATCAAGGTCGGGCACGAGACGTGGCCAACTCGAGGCGGATTCTGAAATGAAAGCCACCAAAGTGCAACGACGACATGTTTGCGGAAGTGAGCATCACGACTGCTGCGACAAACGGCACGGTTGGATTTTACGTTAATTTGCGAGAGTTTTGCGTAAAATGTTATCGAATAGCCAATCACATCACTTCGGTTTTGCGAATCGCAGTGTGTCAGACGGTCGCGGCAGACAGAAAGCATCTCCGGTTTGAACAGACGGGCGGATTTTCGTATGGTGGTTGTGGCAACACAAGGCCGGGACGTGGCAGTTAGAACAATACCTGGGTTTTGTATGTAAAATGATGCGAGGGAGCAAAGAAAAGGGCGCTCTACCATCACTCTGCGAAGGAATCCAATTGCCCAAAATAGTCGTTGACATGAATCGACTTGTTCCAGTTTGACGGCAAATTTTCTCCAGGTGAGTTTCTATTCGAAGAAGATGGCCGGTGAAATTGGTCCATTGGAGTAAGCTATATCCGGAGTGACTCACCGACAGGCGTCTGTTTTTACTTGGTCTCACTACAAGTGTTTTAACAGTCTCATATCCCTATTTAGTATGGATACCGGTGCTACATGAAGTGAGACCAGTCGGTGTGAATTCTGCATCATCGCATCGTCGCCGTCATGCCGTCAGGCTAAGTGCACTGTGTTGCTTCGCTATGCCGTGACTGACAGGTGTCATTGCTACCCGATAGCGAAATACAAGAAAACGCGCGGGAATCCGCTCGATTGCGGACGTTTCGCAATGCTCTCGATTCAGTCAGACCTGACGTGCTCTAACTTAGAGCATGTCTCCATCATAAAGGCTATTGCGCCTCTAACAAGCTTTTGACTTAATGACTCGCATGCAAACGAGCTAGGTACTGTACATGAAGTGCAAATCTCCGTGGGGGCTAAAAGGACCAAAACTTGTTAATAATTAGAACCAGTACATGTATGTGATCCCACAATGAAGCGCATTGCTCAGTGCAACACCAAAAACTTCAACCTGAGCTATCGGCCGCCGACCGGTCCAGACTGGACTCCAGTTGGCAACTGACGGCAATGGGAAGCTCGCCGTTGAGAGCTGTTGCTTGCTGCACGTCTTACCAACTTACCACACTCACGCACACTGCCTTTCGCCAACGACAGTGAGCGCTCCAACCGGACGACGACGTTAGTCGCGTTGAGAGCTCGCCAGCTGCAGTCGCTGGGACACAGATAGCGGTCGGCTGTCGATGTCGGGTGCAGGTGAAGGCGTGTCTGTAAGCGATACCATAATCGCTGCTGAGACCGTTGTCACTTGATTGGCGAAGTTCGTTGGTGTTTCTCTGCCAGATATTCTCAACGACAAAAAAACTGAAGCCTTCAGGATCTGAAGGCTTCTCAAGCTCAGATGATCCATCGAGCCGATCAAGACGGAACCTTTTTGCTGCTTCGTGCGTCCCGAGTCGGGACTCGACGTGTCCTCGTTGAAGCGACTATCATAGCGTGCCTGACAGGTGTGGAAGATACTTTTTAGATCGTATTGTTGCATTACCACAACGCCGCCATGTTCTCTGTACATCCTACGTGTACCCTACTGGTAGCCTTGCTCTACTGTGGGGGTGGCAGCAAGTCTCTTGTTTGAACTCGTCGTACTGATTCGCCTGTGATAGGGTTGATCCCTTCGCGTGAGTTGTGGTACTGCAGATTCTGCGCTCGCAACATGGCACGTTGCTTGATCGCAGCATCCGCAGCTTGCAATCGCTGTCCATCCTTCCCATCGTTGTATTTCAGAGTAATCAAATTGAATGGCTCGCCACCTTTGTTGCGTCGAGCTTTGGAGCCCGACGCGCGTAAAGCCTCCCCACGACGTTTATCCTCGGCGGCGGCGGCATCCATTGCGTCCCAGCGTCGCACATCTCGGTTTACAGCCTCACGACGACGTCGATCTTGTTGCATCCGGGCACGCGCACGTGTTCCCTCTCTTGCAGCTCGTTCCTCACCTGCAGTGTCCGAGTGGAAACGGTCGGCGTCGCTCATGAACCCCTGACTCTGAGGTGTGTACACCAACATGGCACTACCGGCAGCAGACGTGTCCACACGTACGAAACCTTCTCTACGCGCACGAAGTCGCTCCTTTTCCCATTGTTCCTTGTCACAAACTGCTTCACGTTGCTCTCGTGATCGTGCGGGAATGTTATTGAACTCGCGCACAGCAGTAGACTCCGATTCCTTGTTACGCGCTGGCATTTTTTGGTTTCTATCCGAAGAAGAAGATCAAGAATGCACAATGGGATGCATCGTAGTGTAGCCATTTTTAGCAGAAGGTATTAAAAAAATACTACTTTATTTTTGTACGGAATAGCTTTCTATTGCATCAAATTGATGCCATCAATACGTATTATTTATTAAAAGCAAATTTTTAATGCTTGTTTTTACTTACATTCTGTAAGGATAAAACCAAATTCGGCTTCCTTATTTATTGCAATAATTATTTAGAAATAAAATAGCCGAATCTGAAGCATTTATTATTTTCCAACCTCTGATTTATAGATTTAGAAATTGGTTGTGTTGAAGCTGTACCCATCTCTAGAAGAACGTGAAAATACACGTCTCGCACTTGTCTACAAGCGGCACGACGCTGTCTTGCCAAGTCACTTGGCCGGTCTTTTGAGCCGATGCCTGTTCATCTGAAGCCCCAGTACCGACAGAAGGGAACGAGTGAGGAGAGACGTCCACTCCATTGACATGAGTTAGAAACACTTCGTCTCGACGCATACCAGCTTCAAAGCAGGGCGACCCAGGTAGCGCTTGCACTACGATCCATTCGTCTTGTTGACGCAGAGGCTTGAGTCCCATTGCGCCGTTCACCTTCGTCACACTGATCGTCTATTCGCAATCAAAGCTGAACCAAAGTCGCACAACCTGAACGAATCCTTGTTGCACCTCGTCGGAGCTCAAATGATACACCCCGTCGTACAGAATCCGAGGACCTTGTTGCGAGATGGCACTGGGACAAGCAGCAGCGAGTGGCAACGTGCATGTTTGAATACTGATAATAGTCACAGGGCGCCCTGCACGTCTGAAATTGTTGATATACCCCCGTGCTCGGTTGGTCGTAACCAGAACATCTTCATACTCTGCAGGTGAACTTTTCATCAGCAGTAATGGCGTTTTCTTCTCTCTAACCATGACAGGCACCCAAGTGCCAATATGAATATATGGCTCCTGGTATCCTTCGACATTGGCTTCGTGGAAGCTTCCGTAAGCTGCATTTCCCAATGGAGAAATGGGCAGTTTATGGTGCATTGCACTCACTCGACGGACCTCCAGGGGTTGGAATGGAGTCGAAGTGCCTTGACAAACGTCACGGATCTCATGATCCGTCTGGATACGGAGCTCGCTGCGTTGACGGAATGGGCTACCGAAGATATCGAGTACCCAGCGCGTGTCAAGTTGGACGAGTCTTTTCACTTTGTCTTCACATTCTTCAGCCGGAATACCGTTCGGAAACGTGTAGAGAGCGATATCGTCAGCTGACCCCACCGCGAACAACTCTTCCTCACTATTAAGTGCGTGAGCTAGCCCCATCTTGACGTCACTCCATCGCTCTAATCCGCCGGCTCGAACTCGAAAGATCCGTCATTCTTACACACCAGCACACGCATTAGCCTGTAGCAGGTGGCACGTAAAAAAAGTTTCAACAAAAGTGCGTGCAACTTTTTTCCGAAAGTAGTGTGCGTAGAACGACGACAGCTTGCAGTGCGGTAGGGCGATCTGCGGTCTCAAGACTCAAGCATCTCTCAGCCAGCTCCCGAACTCCTGTCGGGCATCCTAGCGTGAATACAGGATGCAGTTTACCCGATGCCACGAGATCTAGAATCTCCACATCGCTTAGATTTTGTCTGCCACTTCCAGTATTCTCGTAGGGCGCGGAATGCGTATCAATCTCTGATAAAATGACTCCAAACGCATAAATATCCGCTGCAGGACTGTAGTCTGCAGTGCCCGTGATAACTTCTGGCGACAGCCATCGCTCGTCTCGATGTGAAATATCGATGGTGGACGTACTGGGATATCCTTTTATAGCAATTATAAAATTATCCAGTAGAGCACGACAATCTGGTGAAGAAGACAATAAAACGCTGTGTGACGTGAGATTCCGATGTACCAACGTGGGCTTGAACGCGTGAGCATAAGCCAACGCTTCAGCCACATCGAAAGCGACTTGCAACTTCCAGGCACTTTGAGAGCGCCATCCTTTAAACTCGGTCGTTGTCTCAGCTTTATCCAGATATACACGCAGATTGCCGCCTTCCATGTACTCAAATAACGCCTCCAGACCGTACATTCGACTCCAAATAACGCCCACAAGCGCTACGATTCGTGGATGATCGAGAGAAGCGGCAAGATGGATCTCCTCAGCAAAGTGTTGCATCTCTGACGTTTCACCGAGATCTTTTTGCTGCAATCTTTTACAGACGAGAAATCTGGAGCCACGGAAGCGTGTTAAGAAGGCCTCGCGGCTAGGGTCTCGAGAACGACGCTCGTTGTCGAATTTACGAATGTATTCGAGCTCCTCTACGTTGAGGAGCAACATTTCAAGCTCGTGTTCGTAAGGGAACACATGTCGAGGTGCAGGGTCTCTCGGAGTCGAGTTGGTAGAATGGCGTTCTACTCTTTGATGATATTTGTATGGAGGTGTCTCTTCTGTGGAACTTATCAACTCTTGACGCAGATTGACGATCTCAGATCCTGGTTTTAAACTTATCGCTCGGTGACGAAGATATCGGAACACGAAGATGATACCGAGGATAAAAAGTAGCACGAAGGATGTAGCCATGACCCCGGCGATGAGTGCCTTGTTCGATGACTGTTCTTCTATGGATTCGGGTGATAGCACACATACGTCTAGTGTGTGGCTGCTGGTTTGTAGCGTCTGTGTCGTGTTGCAGATGACGTCGCCAAACGAGTCGACGTCGAATTCGTCGAGTGCTTGGAGAAAATTGAATTGTGCGGCTGTAAGCTTGATATTTGTGAAGTTATTTCCACGTAGATCGAGGCGTCGAAGAGCTCTGAGAGCGAAAATTGCCGGCGGAATGGTCACGAAGTTGTTGTTCGCGATATCACTACGCTGTTTAGTATTGGCACCATGTGAGCTTTTACAATTATTATATCGTAATCAACATGACACTTACAGTGCTACCAAACTTGGCAGTGCACCTTCAAAACTGGCAATGCTGTTTGCAGACAGATTAAGTGTTTTTAGTTTCGGCAGCTTTAGATCCGCAGGAAAAAATCCAAAGAAATTGCTGGATAAATCCCTGTCAACAAAAACGTCAGCAAAGTGATAAAAGAAAGGCTAATAAAACATATATTCAACTTCAAAATGGCGACAGGTAAAATCAAAGTGACAAAACGTAAGTTCAAAGTGACATGACACTGACACTTAATATTTATGGGAGTATTTACGTTTGGAGTTCATTAGATGAAAGAGGCAAAAAGTGGCGGCAACTACTCCCGCCAATTTTGGTGGACGCTGGCTGGCTGTACGGCGTCGATGGAATCAGTGGACACTGTTGCTGCAGTTTGTGGCCGCACTGCCTTTCATTCATTTGGCAATTCTCACTGTGCTTCCTACCCACACAGCAATGCTGTACGACGACGCTACCGTTCGACGGGTTCTCCGTGCAGCTCACGAAGGCCAAGATTGGCGCGATGTCGCGCCATCGTCAAGCTATTCTACGCGTCCCACCGCACCTCACCATCAAGGCGCACCGTGAAAGCTACCTAAAGCTGGCTGCAGACCTCCTCGTACTCGAAGCTATCACCCCAGAACTTTGCTACAAGTGCTCGTTGCACACCATGAAGTTCCATGCGCGTGCGATCCAGATGAAAGATATGCCTGTAGGAGAATAAAGACAATATCAAGAATAAAGACAATATCAAGTTTGGCTTTGCTGGCTCCTATGTTCGATGTCACTTTGAACTTACGTTTTGTCACTTTGATTTTACCTGTCGCCATTTTGAAGTTGAAAAGGTGTAGACTTACAGATTTTCAAGCTCCTTCATTGTGTGTAGATCGTCCGGATAACTCGTCATAAGGCAGTTGGAGATCGTCAAATTCACGAGTCCTGACGGCAACGAGGACTTGAGAATCTGCTCCAATCCTAGATTTGCCAATGTCCTACCAATACACACAATTCGTCAACTAAACTCAAGTCGAATAATCTAATTCAAACATACACTTTTCGCAATTGCGTGTCCGTAGCGAAGAGGTCTTGCGGGAGTTGCATTTTCGCCACTTTCCCCCTTACACTAAAGAGACTCGAGCCTCCAGATAGCACAACTCCAGTCGTGGACTCCATAAAATCCAGTACTTCAATGTGCTGCAGTGCGTCATTGGATTTGGACGGATATTCCGTTGTCAAAATCCCCGCCACCGCCTCCACCTCGTTGCTAAACGGGATAAAAAAAGTATAAACGCTGAAATCGATTGCTCCATTCGCTGCAAAGTCGTCTGGGCCAGTGGCAAAGCACTCATATGCGCAGAAGTCGTCTGCGGTGCAGTTTCCGAGCGTCGAAGCTACAGTCGAGCATTCGCCTTCATCACCAGCAGCATACGCGATGCATGGGCGACCTTGGGGACAGAGCGAGTTGCAGTCTGTTGTTAGCGCCGTTTGGTTCCGCGTACAGGAACCTGCAGACATGGTGGAGAGCTCGTCAAAATCCGTTGTGTGGCGGCGTGGAAGAGTTACTTGAATGGGTTCGCTTTGAAAAATGGGTTCACATTGAAGACGAGCTGCCGCTTTCAGTGCAGCTCTATTGAGCCTATATGTAACAGTCAAGTCGATAAGAATTGCATTACGGAAGATATGATCCGACGGTCTCACTTTACTGAGCACATATCCTCGGTCTCTTCCTATCAAGCTCTTCCTAAAAAAATACCCGTATATTTATTGTCGAAACAAAATACCGGTTAAGTTTATGTGTAAATAATGGTCAGAACAAAATACCGGTACGGTGCGGTACAGCTATTTTCCTCTCATTTCTGCCCAATCCCAAGCCGTTATCGTTATTGAGGTCCGTTTTCTCGAGGAGTTTTTAGCTCGAGCCAACCGCCCAACACTTTTAACAAGCACATTTGTGATCTTCAGACGAAGGTGCCAAGTCCCTCAGCGCGTGCATCCCCAGTCTAAACCATGGAAGACGACGCTCCCACCACTGGTGCGTCCGTCTCCTTTATATTTAAGAATAATTAAATTTGTTCCTCATCGTCTTGCTGTTAAATAATTACGCAGAAGTTGCTGAGCCTGTCGTGACGGAGGCCACGCCCGCTGAGGAGGAGCCGGTGGCTGCTGCTCCCGCTGAGGAGGCGGCTCCAGCTGCCCAGGAGGAACATGCAGCTCCAGAGGAGAGTAAAGAGGCGGAATCTAAGGAGGAGGAGGCCAAACCCGAAGCAGATAGCAAGGAGGAGTCAGCACAGGAGGCTCCAGCAGCCAAACACGACGAGGATGAGGCGAAAGAGGCCGAACCTGTGGGCGAGAGCGTCCAGGACAAAGTGGAAGTGCAGGCTTTACCCATTCGCGCATATTTGGACCAAACCGTGGTGCCAATTCTACTCCAGGGCATGTCAGCGCTTGTGAAGGAGCGTCCACCCAATCCGATCGAGTGGTTGGCTGCTTACCTCCTTAAGAATAACCCGCAAGGCTCCAGTGGCGGCGAAGCGAAGTAATTAGATGACAGCCAGGCCTTGCCACTTTTAACTGCCCCATATTTGCTTCTCAAAATACACCAAAAACTTATCGTAAAAATCAGTGGACTCGTGGATATTTGACTTGAGAATTTCACTTCTACTAAAGCAGATTGGGTGCAGACGAGTATCTTCAAGTGCTTCACTCTCATTGTTCTGTAGCTAGCTAGTTGTCGCCACGTCCACGACCACGACCGCGACCTCCACCTCGCCCACGTCCACGACCTCCTTCGCCACGTCCGCGACCTCCTTCTCCGCGTCCCCCACGTCCCCCACGACCTCCACGACCTCCTCGGTTTCCGAAGCTGCCACGGCCTCCACGACCACGTCCGCGGTTGGCTTGACGGTCTGTAGAACGTAGAAAGATGAATAAAAAATGAGGACACCTTCAGGACAGAAACCTTACCGCGCTTGTTGAAGTCTTCTTCGTTCACCATGTCCAGAATCTACAAGGCAACATAATTCCCCGTATTATATACTGTTAATAGGTATCATCGTCGTTGGCGTTGGCTGTTTACCTCGTTGGGGACGCGAATGTACTTGATGGTGTTGCCTCGAATATAGCACTCGGGCATCTTCCAGAAGCGGTCACCGTCCTACACAAGACAAAGCTGCATAAGTGCTCACTCCCTGTGCATTCTCTTACACATTTAGTACCTTGGAGGTGCAGATGACTTCGCGCAGGTTGACGTTCATCCAGGTATCACAGTTGACGAGGTGTCCATTGTACGTATCTCCATTCTTGAGCTCCACCAGCTGCAATACACGAGCCACAACGCATAACTCAATTCCGCTGTTAGGAGCTATCTATGTCGTGCCCTTCGTACCATGGGGTGGCCCTGTGCCGTCTTGAGCAACGAAAGCGGCAGCTACACACAAGATTTGTTCACACACCCGTTAATATCTCCATCCACAGCGAGCTAAGGCGGTGCATCGTCGGTGAGATACCAATTCAGACAGCACAGGTCTGTCCGGTACAGTCAATAGCTCGCCGTCCGACCGTAACTCACCATATTTGTCGTGTGTAGCACGCGAGTCCGTCTCGCCGTGTGCTCCTTGTGTCGTCTTGTTTGGCAAGGAGCCGAATATCGAAAATAAGGTTCCTCAAAAACATCATTTTCGGATTGCTGACCTAATCCAGTTTGCAATTTCCTAATTTAGGTCGTTGGTGGAACCAAAGAAACGACAAAACCTCACTTTAAAATTCACGCAACTGGAGGAAAGGTGCGTCTTGTCGGCTCTGTGCAGGCCAGAAATGCGGTCTATATACCTTTCCACGTGCTTATCTTCCCCCTCGCGCTTCTCTCGTACTGCGTAACCTTAAAACGGTTGAGATTCGACCCGGAGAAGAAAAGCTGCACCTGTTCTCACTACTTCCAAGTAGGTTACTAACTGTCCGTGTACCTGCTACCAGTCATTCGCAATCATGGCCGACGAAGCAGCTCCCAACACAAACCAGAACAACGAAGAGGACAAGAAGAAGGCCGAGGCCATCACTATCCGAGTCAAGGACCAGTCGGGCGAGGAGACGTTCTTCAAGGTGAAGCCCAACACCAAAATGGACAAGATCTTCACCGCCTACGCACAGCGCAAGGGCGTTCCTGCCAGCGCACTGCGCTTCTTGCTGGATGGTACGCGTATTAGCGGCGACCAGACGCCCAAGATGCTCGAGCTTGAGGACGAAGACCAGATTGATTGTGCACTTGAGCAGGTCGGAGGCTTCCGATGCTAAGACTTAAGGCTTTTGTATGAGTGAGGGGAGAGCACAGTCAAGGAGAAACACAGAAGCAACACGACTCTCTCGTCATTATCTACGCAGGTCGCCTCTACCGTCTTTAAAGTGGCATCTTGTAAGGAGCGACTTGCTGGCTTGCCGACTTCGGGGAACCGTCGTCACAAGTTCTTAACAAGAAGGCATGCAGAGCGATGTGTTAACTTCTAACAAACCTCGACACTGTTAAATGCAAGTTCCAATGTTTCATTTGTAGTTTTGTTTTTCTTCAAACATTCTAGGTAGTTGTATGCATTTCTAAAGGTGGTTCCTCAACCAGGATGGCGGGTTGACTGGAATTGTCACCAAGTCCGTGTCGAAGAGCTCGATGAACTGCTCGTTCTGTAGCCGCACTTTGCTGCCAGCAAACCGTCGGTACTCCTCGAAGATGGACGACAGATGCCAGCCCTGAATCTTGCGTAGACAACCCACCACGGCGCCTACAAATCAAACAATGTCGGCCACCATTATTACTACAGATTGCTCTTCCTCACGTTACCTGTGCGGTCTCGGCCGAGGTGGCATGTGATGTAGAGTGGGTAGTTGGAGCGGTCCAGGATGATGTCCAGCGCAGCGAGCACTGTCTCCTCGGACAATGGCTCCCAGGCCTTACGGCGGCTCTCCATGCGCGTGTTGCCCCCGAGGAAAACGAGCTGGATCTCCTGCTCCTCCACAAAGCTCTGGAACTGCAGGTTGGGCTCCTCCAGCGCCAAATAAATAATGGTGCGCAGGCTCAGCCGCTCCAGGAAGGGGAAGTTGAGCTCGTTCGGCTGCCCTGAGCGGTACAAGTCCTCCTCGATCATGCCGTAGTTGACAGGCGGGATGAAGTACGACATCTTACTCAGCAGCGATGAAGTCTCGAAAATGCTGCGAAAGCGCTAGGGTAACGTTCAGCCTAATAAATAGAAATTCACGAAAGTTTTGTCGTTTCTAAGCTCAAAAGTGTTTATTTTCCTTCGATTTATTTAACATTTCTAACTTTATTTTATGTTGTTGCAGTATTTTAGTTCGCTGTCATTGTTAAGCTTCTTAGGCGGCACGCACGCTCTGGGTCTCGTCGCTGCCGAGCTTTCCATCACAGGAGACATGGTGAAGTTTGGGCATCATGCCACCGGCCACAGCCGCCTTGATGATGCACTGAACGCCGCGTGCACTCAGGAAGTTGTCCTCCAGTCCGAGGAAGCGCATCTGAGGACACTGAGCGCTCGACAGCAACTCCACGACCGGAGCCACGCAATTGTCCGTAATGATATTGCCGCCCATGCATAAGTACTTGAGCTGTTGGCAGCGACCGGCACGTAGAGCAGCCATGATCCGCTTCAGACCGGACTCGCCGATGTAGTTGCGACGGATGTCCAGACGCACCAGCTTAGGGAGCGATCCGACCTTGATCAGCCACGCGACGTCCACTGTGCCCACGTCCGAGAAGCCATTGCCTCCCAGTAGCAAGTCCTCTAAATCCGGACACGAGCCCTTGACCAGCGCAGCACACAGCAGGTGCAGCGCGTTACCGCGACATGTGTTAGTGAACACCGACACGAGACGAAGGCTGCTGAGACGTCGACAGGCGCCGAGTTCGATGCCTTCCGCAAGCTGCTGCACCACTTCCTCTCCGGCGTTATCGTGAGAGATGTCCAGTTCACTGCAGCCCCAGGCGTGTAGTGCCGGACCGGCCTCTTGCTGGTCACACAGCGGTTTCAACGAGTTGAAGACAGTGAGACCGGTCAGGTTAGGAAACTGACATAACAGGGTGGCTGCCGGTTGAGTAGGCACAGCGACGGCGCGTAGTGTGTAGGCCAACTGAAGCTGACGAAGTTCGACTTCGAGTGTCAACACACAGCGAGGTAGAACGCGACGTGCGAATCGGTTAAGCTGCATACACCGGATCGTCTCGAGACCGGGTAGGAAGGCGAATACGAGGCCTAACACTGCCTCATCCATGATAAAGAAAGGCGCATCGTCCTCCATGTTGGAAGTAGTGCGTGGCGTGCAGCTTGAAGTGGATCCGATGCACTCGGCGCGTGGGCGTTTGATGGTGAGTCTGGACACCCCGAAAGGCGTCATGGCTCTGCACTTCCGTTTGCCGAGTTGTGGTACGGCTGTGACGGGGCCGTTGCCCGACATCATGGCAGCGCGCCGGCGGCGCGACACCGCAGCCTCATGGAAGCTCAGCGACACGAGTGATTGTAGTCGACGGCGTAGTGTATTAAGGTCGCGGTACTCGTGGAACGAGGCCGCGCGGGAGTACAGTGACAGCTCGATACGTTTAGCTAGCGACGGCGTGCGCGTGTCGGCGCATGCTGCAGTCTCCACGCGCTTACTGCGAGTCATAGCAATGATGCGTTGGACCATGAGGCGGCGTTCCGGCAAGTCGGCCGGTGACTGCCAGTGCGTCAAGTCGGCAGTGTACCGTTCCGGCAGCAGACCGGCCGGCAGCGCCACTTGGCTAGAACCTGATCCAGAGCGCATCGAAGATGCGGCATTAATAGCTTGAGCTGTGGTAGAAGCAGTGGGGGATGACGGCAACGATGTCTTCGTCTGTGGTTACCGCGGTGTCTACACTGAGGTTGGCCCAGGGCTGGCGCGCGGAGTTCGGGTCGAGCATGCGCGGCGTGGCGCCGCTCTCGGGTAGCTCGCCGCCCAGCTTGGTCACCAGGCGAGCGGTGGCGGGCGTTAGCGCGCCTTGGCGCTCGGATGAGATCTCGCGTGGACTCTGCATCGTAATGAGTTGTGTCCGGCTACCAGCGAAGAGCGCACAACTTGGAGGCGAAGTACGGCCCTGATTTCTTACGCAAGTGCTGTTGCTGGGCGTGGCGCTTCTACAGGTCTGGTCGCGTCCACGAGCAAGTAAGCTATGAGCCTCTTCTCTGCGAAGTAGCTGTCGAGCAGGCGAGCGCTGCGAGTTTGGCAGCCGAATGAGAAGTGAACCTCCACCCGCGACGTGCCCGGAGACGGGGCGAAGAACGCTGAAAAAGCAAGGAAAAGAAGCAAGAAAACGCCCAGCTGCCCCCAACGGACGGGAAGTTTTATCTTATCTAAGTAAATTTGTAAAATGGGTTTAGAGCTTTCCTTATTTTAAATTAGGCTGGAAGTCGTGCGGTGCACGAGTCTTTTTTTTAAATCAGACCAGACTTATGACAGGCGCGAAAGGTGAAAGCCGTTGACGTCTACGTGTACTTAGTCCATTAAACGCATCCGTCTCTCGTTTGCAAATAGACAATGAGCTGGGAGTGAGGTTGTACTGTACAAAAGCCCTCACTCATCGCTAAATTCGATGCAGCAACCAACGAAGCGGGCAGCGAGAAACCAAGTAACACCGTTATTATACCATTTCGCTCGAACTGCTTCTCGAGTCGAGAATCTCTACACATTTCATTGAGGATGATTGGATTGTGACGGCTTGCTACGTAGCACGTAGTAAGACGCCACGTAGTATTAATACGTACAGTCTGTCTGTTACATCTGTACAGAACTTCATGCACTGTACGGGTCGAGAAAACATTAGTACTTATTATTTGTACTTAGATAACATAATTCGTCAACGGACGTGTCGTCCATGGAACCGCGAAATTCCGGGATCGAAGCCTACGGATTCCACACACGTAAAGGTCCAGACCAGCCGAAGTTGACCTCAAGTGAGCCGTTTCGGGTGCCTTATCTTGTTGCCGCTTGTGCAGCCTCGCATGTTTGGAGCTGCCTCCTCGACGCATAAGACCAGTGTTGCCGGTGACTGCAGCCGGACGATAAGATAAAGCGAAGTTTCAATCGAAAGGACATTTGCATCGACGGCGGCCACCAAAAGCGATTCTCATTTGGTGCCAGATGGACGCGCTCCAGCTGCTGTAAGTAACTTGCTGGCTGTCGGCCTGAAGCTCGCGTAGAGGCAGGCAGCTTCGACATCCATTTTGCGGCCAGCTGAAGTTTCTGCTATGCGTCACTTCGGTCGAGCGCCAAGGAAAATGTATGGTGACGTTGCATCGCGCCTGTGGCCATCGGCGGGTGAAGTAGGTAGCAAGATGTTCATGTCTTTTGCTGGGGTCGGGTTCCGCTCCGAGGCACATTCTCAGCGACGGCCGTTGTCCCACTGGTGGGAGTGATGGAAGCGGTACGATCGGCGCGGTAGGTAAAGACTGTTGCGGTAGCTCAGCTGCAGCCTAAACGGAAGAGCGGAGACTGTGAAACCATTGTTAGCTTTCGCTGATTTGTCGCCAGCCAGTGTGGCTGCCTCGCAGATGCTATATGTCGTGGCGTGCGAAACGGAGGCTTCGATGAGTGCTGCTGCAGCTGGCCTCGGATACCCGGATACTCCGCCACTGGCGGCGCCAGGCCACGGTGGCCTGATTAAAGGGGAGCTGTAGAATAGGGAGAGACTTTGATCGCGGATGGATCAATAGAGAGCGCAGTGACTGATTCGCGCAGTTTCGGGCGGTGTGGACACCGACCGATGGTCGAGCTGCAACACGCACACAAGTGCACCTTCCCGACGCCGGGGGAAGCACCGGAAGACGGACGGAATGGGTGAAGTCTTTGGACGGCAACCAAGAGCCCATGCTGCCAGGAGTTAACGTTCTTTTAACACCTGTCGTTTTTAGAATAAATGCAAAATTAGAAATACATGTATTCTCTGGTCTAGCAAATCGTTTCCATTTCAAAAACGCTAAATGTGCAGTAAAGCCTCATGAAAACATGCCCGACGATGGACAGATTGCCCATCTTCAAATTGCCTAACATTTTACACAGGCTCGTATTGAGGACTTTCAAATATTCATATTCCTCCGAAGAAAGGACCCTTTGCTGAGCAATTTGACCGGCAAATTGCTGGTCAGATTTCTTTTTACCGCTAGCATTTTCTATCACAGTGGCTGTTGCAGTGAGACCATGTTTTAACACCAATTCCGTGCAAGAAAGTGTTCTTCGGCCGGTCGATCGAAATTCTTTTTTAAACTGCTTCCTGGATCGACCAATACGACCCTATTTTACCACAAGGTATCGTTGAAAAGCTAAGAGGTTGGAGCTTTCCGATCGCGAGAAATTATTCAGTTACAGCTGAGAAATTTCGCAATATCTGCAATTTAATACAAGTAGTAGACAATATGGTTTCCAGCCGGACCGTACTTCCATGATTAATCCTCGATTCCAATTTCTATCTTAATTCAGTAGACATATGGGGAAGATACTTGAGAGAGAGATCAGACAAGTCTATTTGGTCAGTTTATCGGCGATTAGAGGTCTGTTTGATCCGCAGCCTGACTAACAACGCTGGTGCCTGAAGGTCCGGTGGCTGAGCTTGGCTTGGCTCCGTCGGAGGTCTCTCTGTCGGTTCTTGCTCCATTCTCCTGTGACAGAGAAGAAGCATTGTGCCCGCCCGCAATGTTGCAGGATTGCGACGTTTTCGTTTTGCAAGCGCCTGGATCTGACGGTTGCCAGTCTCCCAGAGCTCCTGCACACTTCCTGCAATCGTCACCTCTTCGTGCTTAAAAACCACCCTGTTCCGCTGTATCCACAGACTCGTGATGCATATGGTGCACCAGACACGCCACAGTCGATTCCATGTCTGCTGATAGTCCTTTGGTTTATCCGGGTGCTCAGTTCTCAAGAAGACCTCCACTGTTGATGATATCGCTGGTGGGGCTCGGCTGGCACAGGACCTCTGAAATTTCCCCATGTGCACTAGACCCCATTGGACCCCTGTCCAATGTGCCACTAAACGTTGCCAACAGGCCTGCGCGCAGGGGCAGTCCCACAGGATGTCCGCCAGGTTTTCCTTCGTGCCGTGACACCTTGGCTGCTTCCTACAGCTGTTGTCGATGAGTCGGCCTTCATGGAACAGGTTGAGCTGCCCGAGTGCCGCGCGATACCCCACCCAAACTTGGTACTCCGTAAGTTCGTGACCATGAGCCCATAGTGTTGTCGGCGTTTGGTTTAAAGCAGCTGCGTGCCACTCACTTTCTGCTGCGGCTTGCTCTAGCCTAGTGATCACCCCGGCGATTGTGGGGCCTTCTCCTCTGTTGCGCCGAAAGAATTGCTTTTTGATGGCCGCTAAGACGTGCTTGTTCGCTATAGTGTCCGGCACTGTCCATGAGAAGCCATGGAGGGTCGGGTGTGCTTGAAAAACTATGCTTCCTTCGGTCTCGTGCTGTTGAAGCCGACCAATATCCTGCTGGGTTTCTGCGGTCCCCTCTCCGACTGCCCGGACACGCCAGTGAATTCCATTAGGCATCTGGTCCATAATTACTGCCGGGGTCCCGCTGTCGCTTTCTGCGCTTGCGACGCCATGGATAGTGTGCGCTCCAACCACCCTCCATGGAAAATCCTGTTGGAAAGAAGGTGGATGCCTCATGACTGCTACGCCACGCACTTGCATCCGTTCTCCTAGTGCCAATCGCGGACTACTGCATAGAATAGCTATGGCCCACCGTTGCAATTTAGCTGCTTGATGTCGGCCTGAATCTGTGTGTGGTATCGTCATCTTGTATTCCCGTTCCGCTATACAATGCCGCTATCGGCGTCGGTTGGATTCGATCGTACTTGGTCGGTGTCAACATCCTCCCTGTTTGGTCATAGATATGAGGGTTGTCCGTCCAGTAGTAGCTGGGCCAGAAAACTTTGTCTTCCTCCGACAGTTCCTCAAGTAGGGGAGGGAGTGGGTCTCGTAGCTCAAGATACCATTCCTCGTCTTCCAGCCAGCTCTCAGCAGTGTCCGCCAGTTAATCAGCTCGTGCTGACGCGCAGTTCTCCGGTTGACGGGCAGGGCGCGAGGGGCTATCCAGCCACCGATCAAGCGTTGTAACCGGTTCCCCGGCGTCATTGTCCGGGAGCCGGTCCTCTCACCTCCGACCTGCGTCGGCGAGACGCCTGCAGCCCACGGATGCTTCGCTCCTCGGAAAGCCCACTGTTTCCACGCGTCGTAGTACGTGTCATGCCGTTGGATAAGCCACTGCATGGTGTGTTTGACCCGCTGTGTCTTACAGGCTATGGCGATTGATGCCAACCCGACTCCTCCAGCCTGTCGAGGCGTGAATAGGAGGCCCGGTTTGACCTTATGCCTACTGGGTTCGTGGCCTGTCGAATGATGCCACAAGAATTGTTTCTGAATGTTGCGCAGTTGGCGATCCGCCCACCTTGGCATTTCGAACACCGCTGCCTTAAAGAGCACCGACGGTAGCATGATCACGTTGAGCAAGAGTACGCGTGTCTCGACACTTTGGGATAATTGCGCCGCTGTTGCTAAGCGTCTCTGGACAGCGCGAATCCGTGTCGCCCAGTTCACCTCTGTCAAAGGGCCGGTCCCGACTTGGTACCCCAAGTAGCGCACTGTTTCCCCCATCGGCACTACCGGGATCCCGCTTTTATCCACTTTCTCCACTGCCGTATTTAGAAAGATCGCTTTACTTTTGGAGGGCTGGACCTGCAACCCTGACAGCTCTCCAAAGCGCTTTACTTTCTCCATCACGCGGGGTAACTGGTTTGCTTTCTGCAGGAACACGGTGGAGTCGTCCACAAATGCCGAGAATTTGTGGACCTCCCCTTTCCGCCAGGTACTGCGATCCCTTCCAGTCCCGGGTCCTGTTGAATAGCTAGTGCCAAGATTTCTGCCGCTAGGATGAACAGCAGAGGCGCCAGCGGACAGCCTTGCCGGATACCTGACTGAACGAGGACCGGCTCCGAGAGCTCACCGCTCACTAGAAATCGCGCCGTCGTGTCTGCATGCAGTCGTCG